AGATGTATGATTTGTGGGAGCCCAATTTGTAGATTCTATGAAGTATAACATACTCCACACTCAAATTCCCAGTTGACGACTTGCCATTTCTGGTTCATTCCTTCACTTGGCTGGAAGTGATCTTTTTGCAGAGAGCATTATCAGATACCTCTACCTTTGCTTGCTCATCTTCCCTTCTATCTAAGTACATGTTAATCACTTATGGAGAGAATTTCACACATTTTCCTCTTACATAAACTTTCTTATACTCCTTGCTCTTCTTATTGTCATAATCATTAGAAAGATTTACTATTAACTATTTCACCAAACTCATAACATTTCCCAAAACCAGAAACAATTTTCACTAAGACAACATGCTAAATGAGATTCATCACCTCTTTACAGTCAAGGGCATCCTTCCCCAGTTATCTTTCCCAAGCCAACCTCATTTAGAACACATATTTCCATTTGGAAACACTTTCCACATAACGGAAGGAAATGTTATCAATAGGTACCTCGGGAATATTTGTAGGAACTTTCTTCATAGCAACTTTCTCCTCAAAAGGAATGATGTCTTGGACATCTTGTTCGACATCATACTCAAAATAAGTAGAGATGGAAGGAACTTCCTTTCTTTTCAAATATTTCTTCTTGATAGAAAGAGTAACTACCTTGATCCAATTTTTTGTAGGCCCAACAGTAGGAATTTTCTTGGGAGCCTTAGGGAACTTGCTGATTGACTCATTACCTTTACTTTTTATGTTCTTCAACTTCTTAGAAATTACAGGAGCCATTCTCTTACTAATAGACTCATCATCGAAGTTCAGATCATTTATATTGACAATGTCATAAGGCTGGTCTTTCCTCACATCAGAAGTTTCTTCTTTGTCAGACTTCTTCGCGTACATACACATCAAAATTTTCTTTTTCTATAGAGTTTTTAGGGGCTTCAACCGTGTAACCAGCTTGGGTCTAGGGTATTGAGACATCCAATGCAATATTAGATGAAGGTTTCTTATTTAGGATTCGAGAGATTAACCTATGAATACTTTTATCCACACTAACAGTATTCTCAACATAATTTAGACTAGGTTTTTTTTCAAAAGCATCAATATTACCCTCAACATTTGATGTAACAAGACCCTTAGTATAAATAGTAGCAATAGTTTCAACTTTTATACTAGCAACCCTAGAAGGAGAAAAATATTTACTTACTCTTGAGGTAGATTTTTGAGTTCTCCCTTTCGTTGGAATAGGTGCATGAATGATGGATATGGGTACAAGATCAGTGATAAGATCCAAACCGCTTGATGTTAAGTCTAAGGTCTTAGACATTTTGAAAATGAAGTTCAAAGAGTGAGAAAGAGAAACCGTTTTTCCGAGAGTCAGGATGTCAGTGAGAGACATAGAAATGTGTGTTTGGAAGAAAACTTGGAAAGTAGGTAAACATTTTCTTAATATAGCGAGCACCACTGATTGGGGGAAAGAAAAAATATCCATTGTACTCCTCCAAAAAATTAATTGCCATAATTTAAAAAAATAAATTTCCAGTTTTCCCCTTAACTTCTCAAGTTGACTTTCCTTCAAAGCGTTAGTGAATATATTTGCTTGTTGCATCTTAGTGGCCACATGCTCAAGAGTACCAATTTTGACTTCCACAATATTCTTAAAAAAAGGATGACACAAGTCTATATGCTTTGTCATGTTAAGTTGAATTAGATTCTTGGATATATTTATTCCACTCAGATTGTCATAGTATAATGTCATGATATCCTAATTGACATTGTGTTTCTTTTGTATTTGCTTCACTGGCTCTATTAGATCCATATTAGGACATTCTAAAATTTTGGAAGTAGTCTTCTGGTATGACATCTTAACATCATCTTCCTTGATCATTAACCATGTGTGAGAGTAAGTGGTTTCTTGAAGAACCCATAAATAACAGTTGTCTTTAGACATAACTCCCCTCATTAAGACACCATTCTTCTTATTTGTAACCAAAAATTCTGACTTGATAAAACTAACTTTTAGACCTTGATCACATAACCGACTAATACTAATCAAATTAGCAGTCAATCCTTTTACAAGAATGACATCTTCTAGGCTAGGAATCTCAGTACAAACTATATTTCCAACTCCCTTAATTTCACCTTTAGCTCCATCACTAAATGTGACAAAACTGCTGGAATAAGATCTGACATTCACCAAGTACTTCTGAACTCCTTTTATATGTCTAGAACATCCACTGTTAAAGTAGCAATTTTCTCTAGATGGAACTTTAAGAGAGATATGGGCTATAAGACTACTATCACCAGCCTTAGGTTTCCACTCCTTTTTAGTTTTAATCATTACATGATCAGCCCTATGATTTTCTAGAAGCTTTGGATAACCAAATAAATTGTAACAAAAAGACTTTATATGCCCAAATTTACCACAGTAGTGACATCTCCAAGGCCAAAACTTGGCTTTGGATTGAGTTCTCTGATGTTTGGTAGAATGTTGAGACTTCTGGTCGGACTTCTTGACCTCATACTTTCTTCCAGCAGAAATAAACTTGGTTATAAGTGTTTTCCCTTTTTGAGAATTGTAGTCAAAACCTATACCTTTTAGGTTTCCAACCCCTTTTCCAAGTTGAATGATTTCATCAAACATATCAGATCCATTGTTCAACATTCTTACTGATTTGGTCATGTTATCAAGTTTGGAATTCAACTAGGTTATCTCATCTTGAAGACCGGAAATTATTGACAGAAGTTTCTCCTTTTCATCCAGTGGTTGAGATATGATCCTCTTATGTTCTTCACCAGTCTTACATATCTCCTTACTTCTGATACATAACTCTTTGTAAGAAAGTTCATCTTCTTCCTTAGAACAATCTTCTTCTGGCTTTAAATCCGTAGTATCCTTCACATCTTTGTCTGTCAACACAAGATGAACCCAACCTTTAACAACAATTTTCTAGGTTTTTCTATAAATAGATTTTAGAAAGGCAACCATATGTGCTTTCCAATAGTCATAGTTGGTTCCATCCAACATGGGTGGTCTGTTAGTATTTCCTCCTTCCTTCTCCATAGTGTCCGAACAAATCTTCCCTGGAGCTCACCCAAGATAGAATAGGGTGCCTGCTCTGATGCCAATTGAAATTATGGCACTTTACAAAATAGATGTCAAATACAATGCTAAGACACCACAAACCAGATAGTTAACAAAATAAGGAATAATGCATGAATTAAATAACACAGTTCAATTGTTAACCCATTTCAATGCAACTTTACCTACATATAGGGGCATCCAAGCCAGGAAAGAAATTCACTATAATAGTATTAGTTTGAAGTTCTGAGCAACCCCTGTTTTACAAACTTCTCACCTAATCTTTACCCATGCAATTTCTACATAGGAAATCCTAGATATGAACCCCTATCACTTTCCCTCAATCACACACTTGTGATAATAATGTTGTACCCCAATTTTTGACCTAAGATCCCATCTTCATTTGCATTTTTATTCAAAGAAATTAAGGGCACGAAATATGGCCAGTTTTAACCTCTCAAACTTCTCCACAACTTCCTCAGAGCACATACAAGATTCCATCATCACTGGTTCACGTGTGCTTCAATGTGTCTTGGAATGCAAGAAAAGATCAGGCTATGTGAGATGATTTAAAGCACTTCGACCAAAATTTAACTTTTTGCAAGATCAAGTTCAAACGATCATAACTTCTTCATTATTCCATATTTTTGAGTGGTTCTTTTTGCGTATGACTCTCCTTGATGTCATCTCCCACTCCTCTTTACAAGTCAAGAGTTGATTGTATGTGGAGGATTATCTAAAATTCGAATACTTTGGAGGTCTTTTTGCAAATTTAACCTAATCACAAGAAACTCTTGTCCAGATTTCGAGGTTCATAACTTCTTCAATTCTCAACGTCCCGAGGCAATTCTTTTTGTGAAGTGTCACAAATAGCATTGTCTTTGAGATTACTTCAAAGGTCGAGGTCAATTTGTGCTTGGTTCAATTTATGCCACAAACGTTTTCTCAAAGGACGTTTGATTCTTATGTTAAGATAATTCATCAAATAAGTTGTTGAGTTTGAAGATTCATTGATCATCTATTGCTCGTAATTCAAGTCACTTGTGTTTGAGCGTTAATGATTAATGGAGCGAAGTTGGATTTTGATTAAATTTCTTAAGGCATTTGTTTGTTCATTAAAATTCGATTCATTAAAGTTTTAACATTTACCTTTCTTTCAATTCATACAAATTCCTTTTGATTTAAGGTCATTATGCCAAGATTCAAACATTCATTATTTTAAGTTGCACACCATTCAACTTTCAAGACAATGTTCAAAATTCAAATCTCAAGTTCAAATGCCATTCAAAGTTGCAAATGTTTTTCAAGAGAGTTTCGAATACAAGGGACAAAAGTTTCATCCAATTTATAATGCTTACAATTTGGAATTATGGAAATTTTGAATTCAAATATAACAAGTTACAAAGATCATTCAACATTATTCACCATTTCAAGTCATTCAAACTTATCAAAAGTACATTCAAGATTCATATAAGTTTTGCTCATGATTCAAATTCATTCTTAGTCCATTTAGATTCCATTCAATTTTATTCTTTCTAATGGCAAATTAGAAGATTCATGGTTCACTTGCCACATAAATGACAACTCTATAAAGACATTCATACCATTTCAAATTCATTACCTAAATTGTCTGATCAAGACAAGTTCATTCAAAGGTTTAAGATTTCCATTTTCAAGATCACTGAACAATGTTAAAGTCATCAAAATTTCATCAAAGATACATTCATGACAAGAGTTATTCATTCATAAGTTAGGAAATTTACAAGGATCACTCATCACTTCAAGATATTACAAGAAGATTAAACAAGAGTTTACATATATTCCTAAGTCCTAATCCTATCCATTGTCCATGATTAAACCTAAACATTTTTCTAATCTTCATGCCAAGTTTCCAAGTTTACCTAAATCTTCATGCTCCAAGTCTTGTAACTTTAAAGCTTGCAAACGAAAACTTGCCAAATCCTTGCTAAAACCTGCCCAAACCACTCAAAAACTATCCCTGCTATGCTGTTGTTCGGAACAGTCCAATGCTGCTGTCTATCTCTAAATTTCCCTGCAACAATAGACAAAAAACAATATCAAAACTTTCCCGAAATGTGCCAAACAAAAACATGCATCCGAAAAAGCAACAAAAACAATACAAACAACAAAATATATGAAAACAAAATCAGTCCATATCCCTAAACCTGCTATAATTTTGTTACTGTCCATAACCTGTAAAAACTCTGCAAAACAACATAACCCACAAAACCTGCACCATTATCAGTCCTAATCTGCACCTCACCAGTAAAAAAATTACACAAAGTTGGTTAAAACAAAACCTGTATGAAAAAGCTACATATCAGCATATCAAATTTGTTCAAAGACTCACCTTTACTGATGAAAAAAAGAGGGCATGAGGAGATCATTTTTTTATAGAAAACCTGCAACAATACAGTAAAGGGGACACAGACAAAATACAAAAAAAGGCAAGCTTACATTATTTTCCTTGATATCTTTTCCTCTTAACCCCTCTCTTTCATTTTCTACACGCATAGTAGCTCCCCTTTCCATTCTTCAACCTTCATCCCGAACCACCCTTCTACGGTCACCCTTCCATCATCTCCATTACATACTCAACTAACCTTCACTCCAAACACTAGATACCCCCTCATAAACCAGAAATCTTCATCATCTTTTTAAATTGTATTAGACCTCTACAATCCACAGTCAACCTTACCAACCTAACCGTGTAACACTCAACCTTACATAATCTCACACCCTTCAACTTACAACCTAACTACTGTTTACCCAACTCATCTCTCTAACCTTTCACCAAAATCTTCATCATCTTCATCAACACTGCAAATCACATTTCATCGCAAAATGTAAACAACAGCAACATCAACGTTCCAACAATAGCCTCGTAACAACAACAGCGATTCAGAAACGCAGAAGAAAATAGAAGAAGTTTCAGACTCGAAAAAGGAAAGTGCGAAAACTGAAGCATACCTCTAGACTTCTGTGGGTGGCATCATCGTAGAAGACGCGTCGGACGAATTCCTAAAGGTAAGCTTCAAATCCCTTCTTCTCTCATTTTCTGCGTGTGTTCCTTGTTGTCTTCTTCAAACCTCGAAATCGCACGAAAGCGGAAGCTGTGAATCGGTAACGAGATCGGAACTGTGATTGAGAAGACGAAAGTGACGAGGGGAACCGAGACATAACTGAACAAAGTTTGAGCGTTGATTAGAAGTTGAACAGAGATGAAGCGATACCGGAGAAGAGGCTGAGGCGAAGCTTTGCACGGCCGAAGCTGATGAAGAAGAACGAAATTGCGACCGAATGAGGAAATCAGAGAGGCGAATCGCGAACGGAGATGATGATGAGCAACGACAAGAGGCGACAAAGCATCAACAGCAGAGACGACGAGTTAGGCTTACGGCGCCGCTGTGGAAGTTGACGGGAGAGAACCATGGCCGTTGGAGTGGTGAAGAAGAGTTTTGCGTTTCACGTTTGAGAGCTGATATACATCACTTACTTCTATTAACCCTAAACAAACAAAACGCAACCGTTCTGATTATTTGATGTTATTTTTTTTTTCTCTTTTGTTTTATTAATTAGTAATTTAAATAATAATGATAATAATATTAAGATTAATCCAATTATTAGGATTTCAACTTAATCAAAGTTATTTATTTTAATCTTATAAAAAAAATCTAAAAATACAAAAGTAATTTTCTTTTTGTTTTATTAATTAAAAACATAAAAAAAAAATCTTCTTTTTATTTCACTGCCTTTAAGTAATTAATTTAGGAATTAATTTTCCTTCTTTCATTAGTCTATATTATTTAATAAAAAATACAAAAAAATTGATTAGTTAACTTAATTATATTTTCTTAGATTAATTTATGTTAGCGTATTTTCTTATTTATTTAATATATAAAAAATATATAGAATATGTCTTTAGTTCTTTTAGATAAAACATAAATTTGTACTAAACTTTTTAGGGCTTACCGATTAATCATTATTCCTTTATAAGTAAGTCAATAAAGTATGTAATGATGAGTTTTCGATTATTTCTCCGCCATGTGTGGATGAAAGTTATTTTATATATTCATGGTTAAATCCAAGGGAAATGCTTTGTTAACTTCATAAGTAATACGATCATGCGAATACCCTCATTCATTTTTTTACCATTTTGCTAAACTTAAGTTAATTTTTCCTAAAAAACTCATTTTTCAAACTCACACCTTTTAAGTCAAAACTTCGACATTAGGTCGTCGTATCTTCAAAAATCTCGTCCATACCCATCTTTTATCCAAACGAATCATTTTAATCAAACAAACAATTTTAACCAAAAACAGATATTTCAAAAGGTTCCTGCGGAGTACCGCAGATGCATTGGGTGCTAATACCTTCCCATTGTATAACCAACCCCCGAACTCTCGATCTCTTTCAAAAACGCATTGTATTTTTATTACTTTTAAGTCTTATTTTACACTGCATATTTTAGGGTTTTATTTCGCTCTTTTCCCTTTTCCCTTGGAAATAATAAAGCGCGGTGGCGACTCTTGCTTTTGTGAGTCAAGTTAATTAATAGCTTGATCTCCGATTTTCACCGCTACAAATAACAACAAAGACAATCAAAATATCAGATACACTTCCAATTAAATAGAACACATTATACTTCACGGCTTATGAGTGGTTCACAAATTACAACTAAAAAATAAGTCCATCTTAGTATCAAAGTGATACATGTGAGGCTCACAATTAACAATGAACAATGAACAAACTAAACCCTAATATTTTCTTTCACATGCGTCACCCTTTGCTTAAGTTTACAGGCATCTTTTTATAGGTAAGAGAATGTTTGGGCTTAGAAAATAAATTTGGTCCAAACATCCTGCAAATCAAATCTTCTGATGCAAGACATAATATTTTGATATTCAATCTTGAGAATCAAATCTTCTGATATCTTCAGCTTTGAAACAAATCTTCGAAGAACCCAATCTTCAGATGCGCGGCTTGATCCACACGAAATCAAATCTTCAGAAAATATCAGAAACAAATCTTCTAGAAACTGAAACAATACATGGTGCGATGTCGTAGCAACATGTCACGATATTTTGTCCAATATCTTGTTGAACATATTGTTTTACCAAAATGCAGTCAACAAACTAAAACCTAACAATAATATTTGTATTTTAAATCTTTTTTTTTTGTATTTGAAAGTTAAAATTTTAATGATTACTAGTAGGATACTCGTGCGTTCGTCCGGGTACTAGTTTGGATCAGACCGGACATTCCAGACAGATTTAGTATTTATTTATAAATAAATTTTTTTTCATGTAAAATCAATAATTATATATATATATATATATATATATATATATATATATATATATATATATATATATATATATATATATATATATATATATATATATATATATATATATATATATATATATATATATATATATATATATATATATATATATATATATATATATATATATATATATATATATATATATATATAGAAGTATCAAATACCATTTTTATACAACATAATAAAACTAAAAAAAATAAAAGATATTATATGAAAAATATAATATTATTTTAATGAAATGGTAGGTTATTTTTAAAAAATATATATAAAGATTTAAAATTGTCATGATTTGGTTTGATTAACACATGGAAATAAAAATATATGACGATTAAAAAGTGATTCATTTTAGTAGAATAGATTTTCTTGTCATATATGAAATAGTAGAGACATAATTAAAACTAAGTATATATGTAAGGAAGGATAGTCATCCTATCTTATGCATAAAACTAAAATGTAATAAAAGTGTAAATAAGAAAAATTAAATAGTGTTATCAAAGTTTTATTATTTTTAAAAGAATTAATATATTTAAAAAAAATTGTTTTATTAAAATTATTTTACATCAATAATATATATTTCAATATTTTATATATTATTTTGAAAAATATTGTATCTTAAATAAAAGACAAATAATTTTATAATAAAAATAGTAGAAACATATATAATTTAAAAACAACTGATTTTTCTCGTGTTTGAATTCATACATTATTTTTATTTATTTTTAATTGTATAAAACATGTAATGACCCGTGGACTTACATAAATTTTAGTATGACACAATATCGATGTGTTACCCATGCGTTCACATGATACTAGTGTGGGTCGTGAATATGTCACCAGTTTAATTTTAAAATTCAAATAAAATAAAAAATATTTGAATTTAATTGTAAAATGGGAAAAATATAAAAAATAGTCAAAGATAAATATATATAAGTTAATTAAATAAATCATTATTAAAAAAAAATATTAAACACCTATTTAAAAAAAAACAATTGTGCAAAATAGAAAAAAATAAAATATTACTCTAAATAGAGTTGTAGTAAAAACATAACATTTATATCACCATTGGATTAAGACGTTATTTTTATTTTCTTTAATTATATAAAAAATATAATAATCCGTGTGTTTGTACGAATTTTGATATGATTACTTGTGTGTGAGCTCATATGATACTTACCTGTGCGTTCGCACGGTTATTGATCTAGTACACACACTTTTGTTTTTAAAATATAATAAAAATATAAATAAGAAAAACAAATTAATTTCACCAAAATTGTTTATTATTTTTGAAAGAAATACATATTTTTAAAATAAAAACAATATTATTCGTATATTCACACGAATTTTGGCTTGATTTTCAGTCTATTCACACGGTACTCGTGTATAGCCTGTAGGTTCACACAGATTTTAACATGATTACTCGTGTGTTCACATGTGTCTAGAGAATTATTATCTGTGCGTCCGCACATATTTATGTATAATACTCGTACGTTTACACGACATTGTTATATTATCCGTGCATTCGCATAAGTACTAGTGGTATAATATGTTTTCAAAATATAAGAAAAAGAAACAAAAAAAATTAAAATACTACTTATAATTCTTTTCATATTTAAAAATATTTAAATCAATAATATAATATTTTTTGTATATAAATAATATTTTTGTTTTGTTTAGTTTCATCCTATTTAAAATAGTGCTAATATATTTGTTTAGTTTCATTCTATTTAACCAAGTTATTCCCATTTAACCATGCTAATATAAGATGGTTTTTTATTTAATTTAAGGTATTTGTGTGATAAATTTCATGGCATGCACTCTCATGATGCCTGATGCATATAGCAAAATTTATTACACAAATTATTTAGTTATGTGAAAACTCATTGGAAGAAATAAAGAGGCAATTATGCTAATAATTTACCCAACCACACGAACATAAAAAAGTGAAAAATTTAAATGAGTGAGTTACAATTAAAAGGGAAAAGTAAATTTTATCTTTAATTGTTGTCTCTATCAATATGCTAATTATATTAATATACACACTCTTAAAAAGAATAATTTAAGTTGAGATATAGAAAAAACATTTATCTCAACAAAATAAAAGAAATCGAAAGAAAACAAAACAAACAAATACCTCAATCTTTTTGTTGAAAGATAGAAAAATTAGAAAATATAAAGACACTGTAGTTATTTTGTTGTAGAAAATAGATAGGAATTGCAGTTATTTTGTTTAGAAATCAAATTTTTATCAATTGAATCAAATCATCAAAATTCTTGACATTGTATTTGTCAGGAAATAAAGCATATTTAATTTATTATCTAAAGTCAATTATATGTAGTTGAGAAAAAGTTTCAAAGATATAGAATCATAGCACAACAATTAATATAAATAGTTGTTACATTGTAATTTTTAATCATTCCATAATCATCCAAGAGTTTAATAGACAACTCATTCTCTTTAGTTCTATATTTTTATCTCTTATTTTAGTTGTCTTATTATTATTATTTATTAAGTTAACGACGAGTGAATTATATGAATCTGGTAAGCTTTGAAGTAGAAGTTCTGCACATTCATTTTCTACTATGTTAAAATTTACCGATGTAAGTTGAGCAAACATTGTATTTAGAGTGTTAATGTGATTAGTTATAGATGTGGATTCACTCATTCGAAGAGCGTAGAGTCTTCTCTTTAAGAAAATGCAGTTGTACAGTGACTTGACCTCGTACAATTTGATGAGGACATTTCATATCTCCTTTGCAGTTTTTTTTTTGTCAACGCTAGACAAAATTAAATCCGTCAATGCTAAGTGCAAATTGGCAACAGCGTTGCTATCCATCTCATTCCATTTTTCGTCAAATATTCCCTCAGTTCTATCTTCAAATGCTACTAAACAATTATCCTTCATCAGAATTGCTTTTATCTTCGGTTTCCACATAGGGAAATTACTCTCATTGAACTTCTCAATCTCAAATTTTGTTGTCATAGTTTTACACCAAAAATTAACAACTGAACCAACTAACACAATTTCACTGTGAATAGCAAAGTATGTGAACAATATTGTATATTTTTTACCGCACACTGGAA